CTTAAGTTCTACTTTAATTTACATAGCTGATATTTTTATAATAATTGTACAAATTAACGAAATATTTAACATTACAATAGATATGCTAATATTTATAAATATTTTTATCATTTTCAATAAACTCTCCTTTTTCATTAAGAAAATCGTACCGTAGTGTTAACTTAACAGTAACAAAAATAGACTGTATTAAAAATTAAACTTAAACTGTTTCATTGGACCTCTATACGTAAAATGATGAAAGTAAAAGTTAAATTTCAAAAAAGGGTTTTTTTACTGAAATTGTTATTAGGAGTTTTACATATTTTACGTTGAAAACTAAACGACAAAGTAGTTGATACAAAAAGTAGCACTTTTAAAGTAGTTCTCATAACTAAAAAAACGTATCTGTAGTTGCCCTTCCACAAAACTCAGTTCTCATGCAAAGTTATGAAAAGAAAACAATGGTAAAACGAGCAAAGTTTTTCAAAATTTTTTTAAAAAACGCAGCGCTCAAGAAACTTTAAGGAAATTTATAAAAACAAAACTTACGATAGTAAAAAATGACTTAGGTCGTTGGACGTTATTAATATGTTTAACAATTTTTTTAAAATCTAAATCCAAATTGCACATCAAAGTTTTAAGTCATGAATAATTATAAAAACGTCTAAATAGTGAGAAGTAAGGTATTTTTTATGAAAATCTTTAAAAGCTGTCTGTTCCTCCGAAAGTTTGGATGGATGGAGAAGAATCTTTCAGTACGCTTGCATTTGCGTCTTCAAGGGACTCGTTTTTTGTAGATTAACTTTGTATTGGAATCAAGGATTGATCTTGAGATCTCGACTGTTCAGGCGGAATCGTATCCATAGAACTGTTTTTGTAAGGAGTTGTGAGGATATTAACTGTAGCAGAATTGTTTAACAGTCGTGATGGTGGTACAACTCTCAAAGAAGATCCAAAACTTGGTGGAGCCCCACAGTTAACATCTTGTTAAATAATATTCCCGTTGGGATGATTACTCATGCTTTCTGTTTGTGAGTCGGACGACACTCTTATGTTACCTGTTTGATAAGTAGGTACTATCTGATCAGAATATTGACCAGGTGGCCGAGTGTGAGTTTAAGCAGTTTGAGCAGAGTACACCGGCATGTTGTGATTTTGTTGGTACAGCTGTGGATTGTATTGTGGAATCTTATTTAGCTCAATACGCTGAAAATTAGACTGGTTGCTTGGCAATTCTATTTGTGTACCACCAAGTGAGGGTCCCGGTGGAGTGGCGTGGAACGGGTTTGACGCAACCCTTGGCTGAATCGGTAGTTGAGGTTTTACTAAAACAAAAACACAAATGAAAGCCATAGTAAAATGTTACCGAACAACTAAATATGGTATCACTCCACCCAATGCAGAAGAAGCATGTAAATGTTAAGACAACGAAAAAAAATTTACCATCGATGTAGTTTTGATTGTAAACGGGATTTGATGAATTTCCCATGTTCCAGTTAGATTCGGTCTTAACTGTCGTTTTATTAGCTTGTGAGCGTATAAGTTTGACGTCAACAACAAGACAGTCTGGAACAAATGAAATAAATTGCACTGCAAATGTGCAGGAACAAAATGCATCAAAAGAGAAGCTTACCATTATCGTCAACTTTTTTTTTCGTCTGGGAGGAGCACGATTTTTTGGTGCACGTGGTGATAAAACGTTTCCTTCAATCCTATCAGGAAGAGCATAGTGCATGACGTGATCAGTCACCTGATTCCTAAAGGTAAGAAGCTTATCTTCCGGTATTTTGTTCAAATAATGTAAGAATGTTGAGAAAAACGTCATGTGAGCTGCGTCATCGTTTGGCGGAAAAATGATTGCTTGCTGTGACTTGTTTTCAGACATCGTTAAGGTAGAGTTACAGAAACTAAATGGTATGTGTGGTACAGTCTTGACTTCGATTGAGTTGGATGCCAACGAAGTTGAGGCTGAGTTGGAATTAAGATTTTCAACCAAGCTGACTTTTGGTTGGTTAGTTGTGGTTGCTCCTTAAAACAATTTGTCAAGGTTCCCAGTTGACTTTTTAGCTGTAACTTAATTGACCAAAAAACGTAATAATTTGATGTAACTCCACTTAGAAGAATAAGAGCTATCTAGCCCATCTCCAGACTTCGTTGCAATTTCCAAATTGTATTCTTGTCTATACTTGGCCACAAAACTTTTCCATTTATTGTAGACAACGTTTTCTGTGGAAAAACTAGAATTAAGTTATATATTTCTCTCAAATATATTAATAGTTATGAGTATATAAAATGGAACTTTAAAGTGGATCTTATGAAGGTGGTATATAGAAACTGTAAAATATTAAAACCAATAATTTTAAAATGAAAATAATATATGGATTTTCAAAACTCAAGATTGATGTTTTAATGACCAACTAATTGACCAGTAATGTAAGGACTAATTTTAAACTGTATTTTCAAAACTTGATATAGTATAACAGTAGTTATGGCACATTTTAGTTTCAATACGTCAGGCTGCTTGAAACTATCAAGTGTTGACAAAAAAATTTCCTTATTTTTTTTTCCAAGCAACTGAAACTCAAAGTATCAGAGAAAGAATACGTTTTAACTATTATTTTAGAACAAGATATGTTACTAAAAATCCCATTAAAAGGTGAGACAAAAAGTTTATGTTCATGAAAAAGCCCTAAAAGATAGAATTATGAATTTTCCTGTGGGAGAATAAGAAAACAGCTAACACGGTTTTATTTGTGACACTTAATGAGTAACAAAAAGAAGAAAACAAATAGAATATTCAATGTTTCAATGTCAAGGGCTGATTGATGAACAGGAACTTTTTGTCCAAAAGTTTATAATCATCTATTGGCCTTTTTTCAGTGTAAAAAAAAAAAAAAAAGAAAACCTACAACTGTTAATAATATGCATTTCAATAAGCAATTAACAAAAGTACTATGACCAAATTTTGTCTACTTCACAATCATCCCAATTACAGTGTTAGAAGCTATCCATTATTTTTGTGCACACCGATATATAAGACTTGACAAAAGCTTTGTTCTAACTCTTGAATGAATATATTTTAAAAAGAAACTTGTGTGTGGTAAGAAAACGTGCTTACTCTCTTTCTTCAGCTTTCCTGCAACAACGTCCCACTGCTTTGCTTTCAGCCCTGAATTTAAATATTGGGCATGAGATTTGTCCCACAGAATTGGTCTTGCTTGTACTTCTTGAATAAGCTGCTCTTCTGTCGATTGATCCATTAGATTGACTTCATGTACCCTAATACACGGTGTAACGATCAGAGAGGACAGGAAGGAAATACAGTTACATAACTGAAAAACGCACACTGATTTTATGATACAATAAAATTGAATTAACAAAAAAATTTTAATCATATTTTTGAAGCATCTATTCGGGAATTTATATAAACCTGCGTACATCGTACGCCATAAATACTGTCCATGTATACATGAGATTCAACGAGTTTCAAAGCGTTATACCCAATGAGCATGTATACACTACATGTGCCAACAGTACTCACGCCAACAGCGTATAAGAGTGAGAAAAAGGTCTGTGCTGGTAAACTTTTCAATCGCTGCTACTATTTATATAAAATTTGTTGTCATATCGCTAGATGAATTGGTCTAAGGCATGTCAGAAGTCACCAGTTGCTGGCTTATGCTGGCAGATGCTATATGGACGCACTGCCCTAGGTAGCGCTAGTATCGCTGGCGCTTACTAGAGATTATTTAAGACTACATCAGCTAGAGCCGAGGTATCGAGCATTTTCTTTGAATGCCATCTACTATAAAAGCACCTATCGAAGATTCTGCCTAGCTACAGTTGAATGTGATATTTAAGCTGTGAGAAGTGGGCGGGGCTTAAGTTGAAGTTAAGGAGAGGGCGCTCCCCTTCTCCTGCTCAGGGATAGAGAGAGAGAGACTAAACATGCGCATAAGTGTGCGCGAAATGTCTTGGGTAATAAGAAACACTGGTTATGCTATTTGTATCTTGTGCCCGCGACTGCTCCGCCTTTCCACTGACATAACAGTGCCACAGCATACAGCCGCGCCCGAAGATCAACGGTCAGGTCTGGCACGGTAGAAGAAGCAAAACCTTCAGAACAAGCAATACAGCCATTATCGTAGTTTTATTTGATAGATTTGTTACTCATTATATTATCCACAGCTCTGCCCAAATTAGCAGCCATGCATCAGCATACTGTTGTATTAACCATCTATTTACTCGATAAACACCGAGTAAATCAAACCAAAGGTATATCTAGATTTATATATTGTTAAACCAAAGATACATCTACATTAAATATATTATCTGCTGCAGAAGTATAACTTCATACTTGGAAACCCCAGCACCTACTGATTTTTGGTTTTTAAACGTGGTATTTGATTGAAAATATGTTGAAAAATCCTTTTTACAAACACATGTTTTTATGCAAAACGTTTAATATTATCACGTCCCTTTACAGGTATTTCAGCAATAAAAGTTATGCCTTGTACTTATGAATGAGTTTTTTCGTAATCTTACATGTTGGCAGATAAAACATGTTAGAAAACGTGTATAAGTTGATTTGTATTAGACGTAATTTTTAGAATATTTACTATAATTATTTATTTTTTATGATAAACCTTCATAGATTGTAAGTGGGACCACTCTAGTGATCAATTAAGAATAAAAAAAAAGGAATTTGAGGAAGTGGTGGGTGGGCAATAAAATGCAAGGGTTGTGTTGGAGGAGCTATGAAGGCTGCCAACTGGCTTATGTAAAATGTGGGGGGCTGTGTGAGGGCTAAAATATAAAATGTAAGGGAAACAGTAGCAGAATTTTTCTTATTGTATAAAACAGTTGTAGTGAACAGTGGGGCCACAGTACAAAGTGTGTTGGGTGAAGAAGGATCTTGGGGCGCTGTGTTTGACTTAAAAAATTAAAAAAAACAAGAGTATTAAATGTAAAAATTAATGATAAAAGAATACAAATAAAAAAATTTTATTTTTTCAGTGACAGTTTCATTTCATATGATTGAAAAATTCATCCCAAAAGTTTCTTGGATCCCAAACAAGCATTATTCAGGAGTTTATGGATTGTTAAAACTCATCCTTCCAGATGCAATCAACGAAAATAAAGTATTGGTTCTAGATACGGACGTTACGGTCTTAAATGATATTTCATTACTCTGGGAGTTATTTAGAAATTTTAACGATAATCAAGTCTTAGGTTTAGTTGAAAATCAAAGTGACTGGTATATTAAGTCATTGTCGTATAATTCACATCCATGGCCAGCTTTAGGGAGGGGTTTTAACTCCGGAGTCATACTTATGGATTTAAAGAGGATGCGAGCCAATAGATTTTCGCAACTTTGGAAGAGTACAGCATCTACTGTTTTGAAAGAAATCTCAGAGACGAGTTTAGCAGATCAGGACATAATTAATGCAGTCATAAAAAGTAATCCTAAATTTGTTTACACGATTGATTGTACGTGGAACGTTCAGTTGAGTGACCACGCACTCAGTGAAAACTGTTACAACAACGTTAATCAGTTGAACGTAAGTAATATTATTAATATTTTTTTATGGAATTATATAAATAATTTATTTACTTTAAATTATATTTACAAAAAATATCCATTCAGATCATCCACTGGAATTCCCCGAGAAAACAAAATGTTAGAAATAAGCACGCCCAAGACTTTAGAAAAATGCATAAAGTATTTTTAGAACTTGATGGGAATTTGTTGAGACGAAGACTATTTAGCTGCCATACTAATGAAAAAAAAACCCAAGTAAATACACAAACTTAAAACATATATTAGTATACTTCACTTCTTATATAATGAGGTTCAACAACCAGCTTGGTGTCTTGTGATTTCAGATAAATGACATGGATCCGTGTTATAAATTTCAAGAAGGAGCCAATATCGTTTATAGAACCCATATATTTCTTCTAGAGTATGAGTACAACGTAGTCAATCCTTATGACATTTTTCTTGCAACTCAATGTAGTTTTGACAGAATCTCGCTGCTTGAAGACCTATCAGACCATTGGCCAGGAGTAATTAGTGTTGCCCTTTATTTGACTGATGCAGAAGTACAAAGTTTCTTAGATTTTGTTCAAAATTCTGAAAAACTTAGTGATCGGAAAAATATAGCATATCACGTTGTATACAAAGAAGGGGTACCTGGAAACAATAAGTGTATGTTTATTCCAAGTAACACCTTAATTGTTGTTGTTTATTTTTTCAGGACTTATATCCCGTCAATTATTTAAGGAATGTTGCAATGAACTATATTAATCTCCCGTTCGTCTTTCAATTGGATATTGATTTTCTGCCGCAATATGGATTGTATTTAACTTTAATTAATCATGTTATTCAGGAGAATTTAACTCACTCTCAATATATTGCCCTTGTTGTTCCTGCCTTTGAAACTCAGCGATATAGGTAAATCAATAAGATAATGTTTTTGAGTCCACCAATCGACAATGACTTTAATGTCATAAAATTAAACATCGCTGATCTATTTTTTGTTTTTTATTGTAAAGCAGTTTATTTATTTTAAGGTTCACTTTTCCAACATCAAAAACTGAACTTTTAAAGTATTTAAGTTATGGAATTTTGTATACGTTTCGGTACCACGTATGGGCTCGAGGTCATGCTCCGACCAACTATGATTTGTATAAAAATTCTACTAAACCTTATGAAGTTGCTTGGGAACCAGATTACGAACCTTTCATCGTTGTTTCAAAATCTGCACCTGTATATGACACAAGATTTCTAGGGTTTGGTTGGAATAAAGTGTCTTACATAACCCATTTAACAGCTTTAGGGTACAAGTAAGTTTTGATAAAATTAAAACTAACGAACACCTACAAAACATTCCTTATAAAAACATAAAAATCCTAAAGTTTAATTACGTTTTTGTTTGAAAAAATGTTGATGTCTGTCTCTGCTGGCAAATAATACTTTTTTAATTTCTTGTAGTTTTAATGCAATTCATGTTAACTCTTACAATACGGATATTATTGTTACGTACGACAGCATATAGCTATGCGTGCGTGCGCCCCCGCTGGCCTGGGCCCAAAAGGGTAGGGGAATAGAGAAGAGAAGGCATGAGAAGGGAAACGAAGCAACAGAGTAAAGGGGAGATCAGCTAGAGACACGAGAGCAGGGATGGAGTCAGACTAAATTTTTTCCTCATGCGTAAACTTCAGAGCACTTTGTGGAGAGACGTATCGAGAGAGGATCGAGATACGAGAGTTGAGACAGTCTCGACTTCATACAGTCGTTCCATATCCTCGTTTCTCGTAGTTCAGTATCCACATGTGCTGTCGGTATTGTCGGTTTTTCAGTGCAGCTAACTATATAACAATCAAACTGGGCATTATTCATCAGTACAATTAATTTAAGTAGCTGATAAGTGAATTACAGCAAATGAATACATCAAAGAGCATCGTACACGTCCATCTGTCCATTAGTTTTAGCTAATAACATTATTATTATTACTATTATTATTATGATGATTATTATTATTATTATTACTATTATTATTATGATGATTATTATTATTATTATTACTATTATTATTATGATGATTATTATTATTATTATTACTATTATTATTATTGTAATTGTTACTCAAATTTTCAATGAAACTTTTGGGCAATTCAATTTAAAAGTTGCAGGATACACATGTGCTCTTTTTAAATACATTACATCAATTATTATTATTATTATTTTTTTATAATCTCTTTGCCTTCCTTGACCCTCTCTGTCTCTTCTTCCGTCGCCTGCATGCCATCCACCTTCACCACCTCTCTGCTCACGACTACCTCTACGACCTCTCCGTAGACCACCACCTTTTGCTCTTCGATTTGAGAAACCTGTAATTATTGTAACTTATAAGAACTAATAACATCGAATTCTTCCGATTCTACTGTACTTAATAGGAATCAGCAATTCGGACATGTACATTCTTTTTTTTCCAGAGAGCACATGTAATTTACACAAAACTTTCAGATAGATCTCAAATACCTTCATAAGGAGGCTCATATCTCTTACAAAACATCTACCAAATATGAATAATTAAGGTATATGATCAATTACACTATAAGAAGAGTTGTTCATTGCTGTATTTTTTTAAAAAAAAGTACGCACCTAGTGTTATAACAAACACAAAAACTGTACATAATAGAGTTTATGCACTTCTCAACAGATTAGTTTTTTTACAAAACTAATCTATATATCAGTAAACCATATGACATGATATCAATCAAAACGTAATTAAATAATTAAGGCACTGTACATTAAAATACTGTCATACATGATACAGCCATACATGATACATACATGATGAAAATAATTCATCAGCCAATAACTACTACATGCGTGTAAGGAGAACTGGTGACTAAATTTATGCAAAAAACTATGTCTTGTACTACGTCTTCTCATACGTTGGTCGTGCCTAAAAAAACCGAGTACTGTGTGATTTTTCTAACAGGACCCGAAATATTTGATTGTTTTACTATAATTTCTACAGCTCTGAGTGTTCTTGAAATTTCCTTTACCTCGGCCTCTTAGAGCATTCATTCACATCAAAATGTATTGTGCAAAAAAATAATTTCTTAACGATATCTTCAACTCTATTTTTAAATACGGACGTGTAGAGTATATGTGTGAAAAATTGTCGGGGAAAAACTGTTTAGTTTTTGTCCAAGAGCACTGCATTCATTAATACATGGATAATACGTACCAGAAACAAACGTTGATGTCAAAAATGCAACGTGTTTTTCTATAATGTGTGACGCCATTTGTCTTGCTGCCACTCAACTCTGGTATCTCTCGTACCATCCAGCGCGATGGGGTACTCGGGCTGCAATGATATGAGGCTCTTTTACAGTCAAGCTTGAATCAGATGGCGCCAGGGCACGTCGCGGCTGTCATGGCCGTCGCACTTACACACCGGCAAATTTACAGTTGTGTATTGTGTCCGTGAGCCTGTCTGTGTGATGAGCAAAGCAGAAGACATAACCTTTGTAAATGATTGCTGTTGCTTGCAGACAATTTTTGTTTGCATTTACGTTTAAAGATAGTAGGAAAAATGAAGTGCAGTGTAATATCCTGCGATAAGAAAGTGAAATTTAAATTTCCTTCTGATAGTGTGATAAAAAAAAAGTGGCTCGAAGCAATTGGGAGACCAACATTTTTGCCGCTCCCAAGTCATGGCTTATGCCTCGACCACTTTGCCTCCACGAGTTCTGCTTTTCTTCCACTGACTCTTGCTCCTTTCCCTTTTAAAAGCTTTTTCAATTCTGAAACTTTTAAGCTCCCATAATATTCTTTCTTGTCTTCCTTATTCATTTCAAAATTTCAAATATTGCGCTTTACCACTACACTTTACTTTCCTATGTACATACAATACTGAAAAGTAATGTTGTGTGAGTGAGACGGCCATGACAGCCGC